AAGATCCTTAAAGATTTCACTAAGTTCACTAAGTTCAAAACTATAGTTTTGAACTCTATATCCAGTAATTTGCTTTCCTCCATTTCTTTCATTCATGACATGTTTCTTTGTCTCTGCATTTTGGCTGCTTCCCTATGTCGATGGAGTGGCTTTGTGTGGTAGGTGACCTATAGGGCCTAGTGGCTCAGCCTTCCCAATCACCTGAGGTGGACACTGTTGGTGCACCCCTTTGTGGGCTGGATGCACAGTCTTGTTGTAGTTAAGCCTTGATTGCTGTTGGTACACTGGGAGGAATTGACCTCCAGGCCAATTGGCTGTGAGGATCAGGTGTGTCTATAATGGAAGAACTGCTGTGCTGGAGACACCCTTATGGGTCAGGACTTGCTTCAGTGGGACTTTGGTGCTGAGTCTGCCTCTTAGTGTGTCACTTATGTATGTGAGGAGTTGAAATCTGGCATCGTCTCACATTGACCTCTAGGTACATTGGTTCCTGGATCTCCAAGGAGGTGCAAGTCAGCTACTATCTGAGGCCACCCAGCAGGACCTATAGGGAGATCTGCAGATTTCTCCTCTTTGCTTGGGGTTTGAAAGTTTTGGATAAAAAGGTCTGACCCAGCTGCAATTTGTTAGGTTAAGCTATGAGAGGGCAGGCCATTCATATGCAAAAGCTGCTGTGCACAGCTTAGGCGGGTCTGTAAATTGGGTGGGGTGGGGTCTCAGGGAATCACTAGGGCATGGCAAACAGGGCATGACAGATCGATGGCTGTCATCTCTGTGTCTCCGCGTTTCTGTGTCCCATGTCCTATGCCCCAGCGCAGTAAACAATGATTCCTGCATGCACCTCTGTGAGAAAGCCACCCTCACTTTCCAACATGATGCCAGACAGTTCAGTTTCTCCCCGTATAAATCTGGGTTCAGAGGAGTTGGGAGCTTGTATCACAATTGGCCCTTCCAATTGGAAAAAACAGTGCACCCATTCGCCAGTCTGATTTGTGCGAGCTTCCATACCTCTACTTTTCCGAGCCTCTGCACCTCCTACACAGTATCAATGAGTTTCTTTACTTCTAGTTGTAGAACTTCTACTCTGCCAGCTTTCCTGTGGTTCTGGGTGATAGTCGTTTTGTCTTTTAGTTATAGTTTTGGTGTGGTTGTGAGAGGCAGCATGTACAGGTATATGACTTATACCACCATCTTGGTTTCCCAAAAACTATTAGTTCTTACTTATTTAATTATATCAATACACACAAATTTAACTTGCTACAATGTAGGCAAACTTAATTTTCGTCCATTTTACTGTACATGTTAAAATAACATCCCTTCTGCTGCATATTCTTTTCTTGACTCAAATGAAATATTAACATATGGTCACGATGGGAGAAATAGCTGAGATGAATGTCTTTAGTAAACAGCAATAAATATGTCAAAGTTAAAAGAAAAAGCATTATTATAATTTAATTGGCAGCATTTTCTTTCTTAGTGTTACATTAAATGGCACATTTTTAATTAATGACATTTTGGATTCCATTAAATATAGCAATGCCCACCTCACAGGATCGTAAGGATTTAATGATTAACAGATATGCCTAGAGTGGTGCCTAGCTTATGCTAAGCTCTGAGTTTTCAGCTATTACTATTATCCTACTAGTGGCCCAGTGCATGAAATTCATGCACATTAAAAAGGAATTCATTAGAGGAAATATTTTAATATCGCTATTTGCCCTTTCTCTATAATAGAAGTGTCAGAGATGAAAGAAAATTAGTAAAATGTGTATGAAAACCTGTCTCCTGTCAGAGCCTGGGGCATGCCGTGGGACCCAGAGTCCCCGCCCACCTGTGTGCACCTCGAAATCACACAAGATCCAGGCCCAGCCGGCCCCACCCCCATTGGCAAGGCTGGGCCCATCCCCAGGTGGACTCAGCCTTGCACGCGCCTGCCTTAGGAGTTCCCCAGTCCCTTCAGCCCTCCAGCCCCCCAGGCTGGCCCGAGGCAAGACAAACCTCGTAAGGCAGCTGCCCAGCTGCTATGGCTGCCCGAGGCTCAGGTAACCGGCGCCTGCTGAGGCTTGCGCTGCCAGCAGTGGTAGCAGCAGAGGTGTGATAGGGCGTCACCTTCCCCTGATCGCTGGGTCGCCTCCTGCCCCTGAGGGCTCCTGGACTGTGAGGGGGACAGGCTGAGCTGAGGAACGCCCCCTCCAGTGCATGAATTTTCATGTACCAGGCCTCTAGATTAGAATAAACTGATTGCCCTTCAGGCTGACACTAGTTTGAACTGAATTTTTGAGGGACAATTGGTTAATAATCAAAAGTGCACAATATCTACCTCAGAATAAATTCAATACAGTTTAATGCAGTGGTGTATGATTAAATAAAAGCAAACTAGGTATCTTGTATATGTCAACCAAACTAAACAAAATATATAAAGAAAATTTTTGGCATTACAGTTATGTTTAATGATTTACTCTACATCATGAAGCCTAAATCCTACCACTTGCTACAGGGAAACAAATTGGCCCAACTACACTTTGAATTCTTAAATATCTTGATATTTAAATTACATAGTTAAATTTAAATTATATTTAAGTTATAGAGTTAAATGATAGTAATTCTCTTTAATTTATATTTATAATATGAACAGGTGCAAGATTTGTTTACAGTAATTTATGGCTAATAATCCCATATATAATAATTAGCAATTATGAAAGGCCTACCGTCCCTTTGAAATCAATGTTTAAAAAATAAGGAAGGCCAGGTGGAGCTTTACTCCCATTAAAATGTGAGTCATGAACAAAATGCAGGATGTTGCACTTAACATGGGTCAGGGAATTTTGTTTATGCATCAGAATGTGTTCAGAATTCAAAATGGAGAGGGACTCTAAAAAAAGAAATTGTGTGTCAATACTATAAACTTCTAGGGCCCTCAATTATTCCACTTTCACCCCTTCCAAATAGTTGACATGGTTATTCACTAAAACACATGTTTATTGTAAATCCTATGGGAATAAAAGTGCGTATTACTCACATGAGCTGATAGTTCATTTAAGGGAACTGTGCTAGTTAAATTCTTCCCTAAAGCACAGTCTATCATTGAAAAGGTCAGTAATTCTATAGAAATGGCAAATGTGCATTATCACATCATGCAGACTTCCCCCTTTTCTTTTGCCTTCTGGGCAGGGGGAAAACACAGGATAAATTCTTTGGTTTTTGTCCAGTTTTCAGTTTAAATTCTAAAAGAGATGAAACTCAGCACTTCTCTTGGAAATGAGACTACATCATAACAGATTTCATTGTCAGGAAATTCCTCTCCACCCTGATATTCAAATCACATGTTCATTTATGCACCTCACCCCACTTTTCCCAAAAACAATTCTATTCATCTATTCATACTTTTGATTCAATTCATTCTATTTCTTGCCTGTTTCAAGAAGACACATTTCCCTTTTAGATTAAATATGAAATGCCATTTAATTGTCTCCCCAGCAGTATTGTGAATGACATAATTCTAAAGAAATTTTTTACTGAATGAGGGAGAAGATTCCTGAAGTTGCTTTAGAAAGTATTTGTGTTTCAGATTGCAATAACTTATTTCCTATAAATCCCATTTTCACAATTTTATACCAACTGGTCATTGTGGCATTATCTTTGGATTCTCTTTCACAATTTCTACCACAAGTTTTATATATTTGTGTCCTACAAGTTTCTTCTAGGCTCACCTCATTATATATTTTTTCATATTTCTAATCTGTTCAAATCTCTTTAATTAATGCTTTTGGTTTCTATTAGGTCTAAAACTTATTCTAAATACAAACTAAAAATGGGTATCACCAATATCCAATTTTATCTGTTTTCTTTTTTTTTTTATAATATATTTTATTGTTTGTTTGTTTTTTACAGAGAGGAAGAGGGACAGAGTTAGAAACATTGATCAGCTGCCTCCTGCACACCTCCTACTAGGAATGTGCCCACAACCAAGGTACATGCCCTTGACCGGAATCGAACCTGGGACCCTTCAGTCTGTAGGCCAACTCTCTATCCACTGAGCCAAACTGATTAGGGCTATCTTTTTTTTTTTTTTTTTCCTTAACCATTAAGTACACAGATGCAACACAGTTGTAATAATCTTTTACTCTTTTATAGTCATGCTGCAATTTCATAACTGTATGAATTCCAATAAAACTAGGAACATTTAATTTCATTATGTGAGATCATAATGTACACAGAGCTGCCATAAGGTATAAATTAAGCTAGGTTTATCATACATACACATATACATTTCAACAGCACTAAAGCGTTCCAAGTGTTTTTCCTTCAGTTATTACTGGATGTTTCAAAACACAGCCTAAAACTGGTCATCACACCCATATATGGCAATGACAAGAGTGGAATGAAAATGAGATAAAAGGCACAGAATTCATAAGACAAAGCTCACTGTGAGAACAAGTGCTGCCAAATTTGTGAGCATTGATGGTTCAAACAATGATGTGGAGTTGCTAATTTTCTGACTGAATATAAGAACTAGTAGCTAAATGTATTTATTCAGCCTTTATATAGGACATACTACTGGGTGCTACCAAGTATAAAAGACCCATTCATTTATCTCAAGAGGGTAAGTTACATAAATATCAAAGGTAAGAATGGGCAACTGGTGGTTCGCTGGTATGTCACACGGTCTTTTGACACCTTTGTGGATGGCACAGGTGATCCTTGAGTATGGCCTTGTATCAAATCAGAAAATGTTTTAGTATATAACTGAACATACTAAAAGCCAGATCTAATTAAAATAAGCACGATGCCAACCAGGTGCAAAAGAGGGGTTGTTAATAGGAATAAAGGCTCGTAAGTCAATTCAAGAGGCTAGAAAACACAACTTAAAAAAAAAAAAATTTAGATTGTTTACTTTTCAGAAAAACAAAAAATCGCACAAATCCATTGATAATACACCCCAACAGTAGTTAGTCAATCATTATCCTCTGCAACCTGGGATTTCCTTCCTCCAGAAGCGCTCAATTTTCATTGCCAATGTTCTTGGTAGATTCACTTTTCACTGAAAAATAAACAAAAAAACATACAGTCAAATATTTATGCTGTTTCTATTTAGCCTGTTCTGTTTTATCCTTTTCTCTTCTCCTTTCTGATGCATACCAACAGCACTGTTCACAGGGGTAGACAAACCATGTCATGTCCCAGACAGCAGGGATATACAATTCTGGCCACAATAAACAGAGAAATGATGTCTAAAAGTGGCAATTATATTTTGTGAGATAACATCCTTCCTGACTGTGTGGAAGACTTGGGAATGGTCACTTCACAGTGTGGTTAGGATACCACACTCACACCACCGAATAGATTGCGATTATCACATAGGCTAGCCAAGTGTGGTTTGGAATAAAATTTTCCATATTTTTTAAACTTAAAATGGAGGGGCAGTATATGTTGAGTGAATGTGGGCTGACAGAAGCCTAGCTAATTGCCATGTTCTTCCTTTCACAAGAAAGAAGACTCAGAGCAGAAATGGAGTTCCTTTAAAGGATCACTTACTAAACAAGGATATAAGAGCATCTTTCCTCCCTATATCTATCCCCTTGGTGTAGCACATTTGCAGTATCAATATAAATGCAAGTTTTCCAGTTTTGTTTTTGAAGACTCAGAATTTTACTTATTTTTTACTAGTGGCCTGGTGCATGATTTTTGTGCACGGGGGTGGAGGTTCCCTCAGCCCAGCCTGCATCCTCTCCAATTGGAGATCCTTTGTCCCACTGGCGGTCAGACATCTCTCTTGCAATCTGCGACTGCTGGCTCCTAACCACTCACCTGCCTGCCTGCCTGATCGCCCCTAATGGCCTCTGTCTGCCTGATTGCCCCTAACTGTCCTCCCCTGCCATCCTTATCTCACCCCAACTGAGGTCCAAAACTTATTCCAAATACAAACTAAAAATGGGTATCACCAATATCCAATTTTATCTGTTTTCTTTTTTTTAATATATTTTATTGTTTGTTTGTTTTTTACAGAGAGGGAGAGGGATAGAGTTAGAAACATTGATCAGCTGCCTCCTGCACACCTCCTACTGGGAATGTGCCATCCTGATCACCCCCAATGATCTCTGTCTTGGCCCCCACCACCATGGCTTTGTCCGGAGGAAGTTGGACATCCGGAAGATGGCCAGTTGACCTGGTCTAATTAGCATATAACACTATTAATAGTATTGATTAGCCAAAACCGGTTTGGCTCAATGGATAGAGCATCGGCTTGGGGACTGAAAGGTCCCGGGTTTGATTCCAGTCAAGGGCATGTACCTTGGTTGTGGGCATATCCCCAGTAGGGGTGTGCAAGAGGCAGCTGATTGATGACTCTCTCTCATTGATGTTTCTAACTCTCTATTTCTCTCCCTTCTTCTCTGTACAAAATCAATAAAAAATACATTTTAATTAATTAATTAATTAATTAAATAAATAAATAAATAAATAAATAAATAAATAAATAAAAAATACTTAAGGGAACAAACAGGATCCCTACTATTGATTTAAAAAAAATAGTATAGATTATATAAGAGGATTGCTTATATCTGGACTGATAGCTAGCAATATGCACTATGTTGCCAAACTGGTCATTAAAAAATTGAACTGCTTTCTTACACCTTGTACCAAACAGCTGTTGCCCTTAAAACCCCTCCTTAGCCCCCACCTTAGGTTCTGCCTTCGCAGTTCGCCCAGATTAGGTTCTGACTGGTCAGTTTCTATGCCAGTCAGCATTAAAAGCTCTGCCTTCTAGGCAACCATTGGCTCCTTGCCATTCACCCAGATTTGGTTCTAATTGGTTGGTTTCTATGCCAGAAAGTGTCTCCAGGCCTATCAACGGGCCTGATCAGAGAGGCAGGGCTGATCAGCAGCCCAGCAGAGGCCCAAGAGAAAAAGGAGTTTGGCTGCTGGCCAGGCCCCGAGAGAAAGAGAGGCAAGGGCTGATCAACAGCTGCCACAGAGACTACAGTCAGACCCTGCTTCTCTCTCCAGGCTTCTCTTTGGGCCTGATCTGCAGCCCCCTCAGCAGTCAGTGATAGGTTGCGACCCAGCACTGACTTCCAGTTGATCGAGCCTTTAGTCATTTGGGATGTTACGGACCCTGGGATTTTATATATTAAGATTGAACTTATTGGGGTGGCATTGACAAAACCATACAGGTTTCAAGTGCACAACCCAACAAAACATCATCTGCACATTGCATCGTGCACCTATCGCCCCAAGCAGGTCTCATTCCATCCACATTACCCAGCCCTTTGCCCACCTCCACCTACCCTCCCACTCCCCTGCCCCTCTGGCTATCACCACACTGTTATCTGTGTCTATGTGTTATGTATATATGTTTTCTGGTAATCCCTTCACTTTCTTTCATCCAGTTCCCAACCCCCTCCCTTTGACATCTGTCAGTCTGTCCCATGCCTCTGTTTCTATTTTGTTTGTCAGTTTATTTTGTTTATTAGATGATATATATAATCTGGTATGTCCTGACTGGTTTATTTCACTAAACATAGGGTATTTGTCTTTTTCTGAATGGCTTATTTCACTAAGCATAATATTCTCCAGGTTATCCACACTGTTGTAAAAGGTAAGATTTCCTTTCCTTTTCTTTCTTTCTTTCTTTCTTTTTACAGGTGACTACTATTCTATTGTGTGAATATACCACAATACTTTTATCCATTCATCTACTGATGGACACTTGGGCTAATTCCAAATCTTGGCTATTGTAAATAATGCTACAATGAACATAGGGATGCATATTTTAGATTTCTTAGGATATATTCCCAGAAGTGATTATACTAGGTCAAAGGTAATTTTCATTTTTAATTTTTTTGAGGAAACATTCTACAGTGGCTGTACCAGCAGTGCACAAGGGTTCTCCAGATCTTGCCAGTACTTGTTGTTTGTTGATTTATTGATGACAACCATTTTGGCAGGTGTAAAGTGATTTTAATTTTCATCTCTCTTATAATTAGGATTCTGTGTATTTTTTATTTATTTATTTTTTGATTTGCAAAATGGGATCCAGAGTGACTGCTCTAACTTCTTTGTATGGTGAAGCTAAAAGGAAATAATATATATAAAAAAATTAAGGTTAAAATAGAGATTATTTTGCTTGAGGCTTATAGCCATTTATCTCCACTGTGTTAATAAGACAAATAGAGCTCAGAGAGGCAGAGTAAATGCTCAAGGGCCCAAAGCTAATAAGAGCTGGTGCTAGAATCATAAACCTGGATCTAGCCACATATTCCAGTTGTCAAGTTCTTTGAGGTATGCCAATAGTACCTAGATTTAAGATTGTACCAGCCCAAACTGGTGTTTATGAGTAAGCCTTGAAGTAGCTTCCATCCAAAATATGCCTCCATCCTTGTGGAATTTTATAAACTCTAGCAGAGTCTTTCAAGTGTCTCCATATTACAAGTTGTTGTCTCTTCTGGCTTTCTCTGCACTTAATGCAAACTCTACTTAGCACCTATTGAACTGTGAAGTTTACATCTGTGTTCCTGAGATCTACCCATTAGCTCACACACACTCTGAAAGAGAAAGGAAGAGAAAGAAGGAAAAGGAGGGATAAGAGGAGGAGAGAAAAGGAGAATGGATGAAAGGATTCATTGGCCCGACAACAGACTGATGTCTGGGCAGCTGCTATGCCAGGTATTTTCACTAATTCAAGTAATCAATTTTGGGTTGGATTCCTTCTCTAAGACAGAAGCATTTTCTAATTTTGAGTTATCTTAGAATAACAGAGAAATATATTCTGCTGGTATTTTTAAATTAATGGGCTTTGTACTATTTGGCATTGCAATTTTAGAACTTTTCCCCTTTCTTTGCTTACTGAAGTTGCCCAGTTGTTTTCTTTTAATAGAGCTCCATTCTTTTTCCTTTGACTGAAATACAGCATGCTTTCGTCAAGTCATTTGATCTACCAGTTAATTTTGGCAAACAAAGACCTGTGAAGCAAGTAACACTATTCTGATCACTTCATACTGGATTGAACCGAGATGGGTGATTAGCACTCTACATCTCCAATCTAATGGGCTACCTTAACTGCTAAAACTTTTTTCATTCCTTAAAAAGCAAACAAACCAACAAAACTTGCTCTTTTGCTCATCAATACAGAGAAACTTTGGATAAAGTAAATTAAAGCAATTTACAATAACAAACATTATAACAACCATCAACTGTGAAAACTACTGAATCCAAGCCCAGAAACACATTTTACCAAAACTAGAAGAGAGACACCTTGTGTCTTAAAAATTAAGAATTCAAGTTTTTGGCTTTGGAGAGAGAGAGAATTTCAAGGCTTTCCAAAGAAAATGCCCTATTCTTATATAACCCTTCTTCTGGATTAAGGGACCACCCTGAAGAATATCCAATGGTTTGAGAAGATACAAAAACAACAACAACCAGACACCTTGAAGTGCTTATACAAAGAAATGCAGGTACAGGAAGGCCTGGCATTGTTTTTTAAAGTATGTGTACTTATGATATGACAACACTGGTATGGTCCTTCAAATCCTGTCGGATCCTCCTTAGTTCTTTGCTAGAACAGCTCTAAACTATCCTCTATACCAAAAGCATGAGTCACTCTGCTTCCTGTAGATAAGTCAAACATCAAACACCTACCAAAAAGGAGCAAATGTTTCTTAGGAAGGCTCCAAGTGAACTATAAATGTAGCTTTTCTTTTTGCTTCATTACAGGAAGCCTTACTTCAATGTGCATTCCTAAACAAGGTAAAAGAGGTGCTGTGTGTGCATGTTTATTTACACAGACAATGTTTGCCCTGGCTAGTAACCCACATTACTAAACAACTTTCCCTGAAACCAACATTTAGAGAGAGCTATGTGAATTATATTAAGGAAAAAGCAAGGTTTTATACAACTTCAAAAAAAAAAAAAAAAAAAAAAGTAAAACTGGTCATTTAAAAGTAAAATTTCCAATTTAATTTGAAGAAAAATATCACACAGCTATTTTCAAACTGTAAAATATATAAAAAAGAATTAACCTTAAGATTTAGAAATCCATAATTGATTATTAGAAACTTCAAATTTGCTAATTAAAAATCGAGTTTCAAATTGTGGAACTGACAAAACTTTGCCACTTAGGAAATTCCTCCCCATTAACTTTCCCAAGAATAAAAGCTATTATATATATACTTCCAGAGAAGACCTTATAGTAAAGGTTACTTCCTGTTACAGTCAATAATAGCAATAAAACCCGAATCACATATTTCAGGTAACATTATCTTAAACAACAGAGTACAATCCAATTCAAGGACTTTACGGTAACCTGGAGTTTGTTACAGTGAAACTTGGCCTGTACCTATAATTCTTAACCGAAAATGGTATCTAATGGTTTTGAGTTAAGATAAGTAACCCCTCTCTCTTTTTAAAAGGAATTTCAGGATTTTATTCATCCTTTCTAAATCTACTCAGAAACATAATTAGCTTACTTTAATCATTACTTGCAAATATGGATGTCATTTTATACACTAAACTTTTGTATATACCACTTCCAGTTCGAATATTTCCTTCCAACTCCACTACTCACCAAAGAGGGAAAAGAAAAAGTATCTTCTTAAAAAAAAATAAAAAAATGACTAATATGCCAAGGAAACAAAATTAAAGAAAACAAAAAACAGTGGGTTCAAAAATAAAAGGAGCCCAGCTGGCATGGCTCAGTGTTTGAGCGTCAACCTATGAATCAGGAGGTCACAGTTAGATTCCCGGTCAGGATATATGCTCCGGGTGTGGGCTCTCTCCCCATTGTGGGGTGTGCAGGAGACAGCCAGAACAATTATTCTCTCTCATCACTGATGTTTCTATCTCTTTTTTCTTCTCCGAAATTAATAAAAATATATTTAAAAAATAAAAATAAAATAAAAGAAGATAAAGGGTCAAGACAATGGCACTTGACCCTGATGGCACATTTTCTAAATGCAGCCCAAATTTGAAACTAATATTCTTTGCAACACTTCTCTTTCTATATGGTGGGATATTAAAAATGATTTTGCATTCCTCATTTTAGGAATTTCTAAAAAAAAAAAAAAAAAAAAAAAAGTTTTAACTAGGAAGTAAATTTTTCTGATCATGACAAACTGTTACTTCTAGACCATTAGCTTTAAAGAAGACAAAAACACGTAGAACTCATAGCATCCTTTTATAGCCAGGCATTTAAACTGGGTCAGACATTTGAAATTGATAGCTTACATTCTCTCAAACCAGACAGAAGGAGCAACTCATTCATCATTTACAGTAGTAACTGCAGCTATAGAGTAATCCTATATAAACCTATGGGGAAAACACATATGTAAGGTAATATAGATAGCCCTATTGCTTCAATTTCACTAGTTATTCTGAACATTACAAGAACAAATTGATACTTACCTTCGTGAAGAATGTTCATGTCTTTACTGGATTCTTTTAATACCACATGTAATGTTGGGTATTCAATGATCACTTTGTTCCTCAAATTGTCAAGGAGACTCTTGTGAGGATCCAGTTCATAATATCTTATAATAAAAAAGCAAAACAAAAAAATGCTCTCAATATTAAAACTTATTCATAAATAAAATATATCAGAGTTCCTTACATTAAAAAAATATATCAGAGTTCCTTACATTAAAGAAAATTAACGTTTACCCAGTAGCTATTTTCTTATAATATAGTAAATTTAATATTAAATAAAAAACAGGCAAAAGAGCTATTATGAAGGTTCTAAAGCTAAATCAAAAGCATATCAAATAAATAGACATTAGGAAAATCCTAGAATAAGTCATTAATTTTTATATCAAGTAAGGAATAAAGACTAACTTTAACATAATATCTACATATTATGTATCATAAAATTAGCTTGGATAAACCCCCCTAAAAAACAAACAAAAAAAAAAACTTAGTTTGAGCCTTAAAGGAAAAACAAACAGCCTTCTATGATAAATTCTATTAATATATATCAGTAAATAACTGTCTACAAAATACTTCTGTAAAGTGGATTAGGAAACTGTGTTACATCTACACATTGGAATTCTACACTGCTGTAAAAGAAGGAAATCTTAGCATTTGCAACAGCATGGATGGAATTAGAGAGCATTATGCTAAGCGAAATAAGCCAGTCAGAGAAAGATAAATATCACATGATCTCACTCATTTGTGGAATATAATGAACAGCATAAATTGATGAACATAAATAGAACCAGAGACATAGAAGCATGAACAGACTGTACAACCTATGAGGGAAGATGGGGGGTGAGAGATTAAGAGATTAACCAAAGGACTTGTATGCATGCATGCATGAGCATAACCAATAGACACTGACAGCAGAGGGATGAAGGTTTGTGCTGGGAGGAAAGGGTTGCGGGGAAGGGGGGAGGAGACTCATGTAATACTTTAAACAATAAAGATTTTTTTTTCAAGTTCATTCCAATGATAGCTTCTAGAAATTATATTGCCATACAATTAAATATGACCTTCCTTTAAAAAAATTTAAAAATCAGATTTAGTTTTCTGAATGAGACAAAAACACAAAATTTAAGAAATATGGAGTTTATTAGCCATGGTATATGTATGACATAGCTGTCAAATGTATCACAGGTTATTTGATGCTCATATTTCTTAAGATATGAAATTCTCATGCCATTACTTAAAGAAATGTGAGTTGATTATAGATGCATTCCCCTAACATGCTACCTTGCCTGCTTTCTGGAATAGGAGCAAAAGGGGTGGGATTTCAGCTGGCATGTGAATATCATATCACGTCAAAGAGGAAATAGTAGAGAACATGTCCACCAAAGCAGCACAGAAGTTGTCTAACTTTTCTTCCCCAGCTCCACCAATGACAGATAATATTCACGTACACAACACACATCCCATGGGATGCCCAGCCCGACAGCTGGGTGGATACTCAGTATCCACCTTTCCCCTCCTACCCCAAAAAGTATAATGGAATACAAGTGATCTAGTGTGCAGTTAGTTATCATTGGGATACACTTGAATCTGCTGAAGTTTTGTTTTAAGAGTAAATCCTTCACAAACCTTGCTATTTTTTTAAATATATATTTTATTGATTTTACTCAGAGAGGAATTGAGAGGGATAGAGAGTTAGAAACATCGGCCAGCTGCCTCCTGCACCCCTGCCCCCCCCACTGGGGATGTGTCCGCAACCAAGGTACATGCCCTTGACCGGAATCGAACCCAGGACCTTTCAGTCTGCAGGCCGACGCTCTATCCACTGAGCCAAACCGGTCTCGGCAAACCTTGCTATTTCTTAATTAGTAACACATTATTTACTTCATAATCTGCAGCTGACTGAGACTCCTGGTATAGTGACTTTTTTTCCCTACGTTTGTCCCATGTCATAATTATCAAATGAGGGAAAACAAAAGTAATTAACAAAGTAGAATGCAAAGGCAAGCCCACTGTAAAAAACTGATTTCTTTTTAAGAAGTAGAAGACACGTGAGAGAACAAATGTAAAATCAAAACTTGACTTAATGTTTGCCTGACCACAAACCTCACCCCTGAGATTAAGTTCTTCATTTTAGAATCAGAATTTTTTTTTTTTTTTTTTTTTGTTAAAACTCAAAAGGCAAAATACTCAGTTTTCCTAAATCAGCCACCCTAGTGCCCATAGGCCACAGAACACATACATTCTTTTCCCTGTGTAATGTATTACAGATGTGCTTATGATACTTTAAAAGTGGTTCCAGCATTCAAGGATTAAATGTTTCACATCTTTTAAACATTATTTCCCTTTGAAATATGTAGCATTTAAAAAAATTTTGCAGTAATTATACAAAAGAAAAGAAAATGAGATTGAATTAGACTTCAAAGTATATGAACTTATAAAATAAAATATAAAATAGATATAACTACATTTTTCTTAAGAGAAAATAGAAACTTTTCAAAGTAGAAACTTTTCAAACACTATCCTATAAACACTTACAGTAACTTATCTTCTGTGCATTTTAACGGAATCATCAGGCTTCTATTAAAAGACATTTCCCAAATAAGGGAATGTTTTCCACTTATTTCAATTTTTGGTAAATAATTTTCTGTGCATACCACTCTCTTATTTTATTTCTTTTCAAAATATTAACTCTTCAGTAGAGTTCTATAGATTTCCAAAACTGGAGCAATTAAAAAAAAATTTCTTCAAAAGCCACATGGTAATCAGAGCCTAATATTATTGCTAGATACGATATCAAATAGTTCCCAGCATAGGAACCTTTAGATACTTAAAAATTACCATATAATAATCTACATATTACTTCAACCTTAAAGCTATAATGATTACATTGCTCATTAAAAAAAACACACAAAAAACTTGGTGCCTATTTTATGTGTCAACCAGGCGCTGCAGAAAGCATTTAGGATGGAAATATTTATGAGAATTTATAATGAATGATTTCTAAAATATTTTATTCAAATGCAATGGAAGTCTGGTATGTTGTGTGTATGTTTGTTTTTAAAAAATATATTTTATTGATTCTTCACAGAGAGGAAGGGTGAGGAATAGTTAGAAACATCGATAGAGAGAAACATTGACCAGCTGCCCCTTGCCCAACCATCCACTAGGGATGTGCCCGCAACCAAGGTACATGCCCCCGACAGGAATCGAACCTGGGACCCTTCAGTCCACAGGCCGACGCTCTATTTACTGAGACAAACCGGTTTTGGCTGTTGTGAGTTTTTTATTAGAACCAATGAATTTTATTAAATGTTAACTCTAAAATGTTGCAAACTTCTAATCATGGTAATATTGCTATTTGCTGTTAGTAAGCTTGTAGGCCTCAGCTTTCTGGTCTGTTAATTAAAGAGGTCAGACTGTACTAGATAATCTTTTAGTTGAAATTCTGAGTTTCTTTGATTTTTTTGCTACTAGTGGTTATTCTTAGTCTACTAAAGCAATACCTATTTAGTCAGGGGCATTACCACTTTTCCCTTATACTGTCAAATAAAAAAAAAATGACAGTATGGTGATTGCCAGAAGGAAAAGGGGGTGAGGAGAGGTAGAAGAAAGTAAAAGGGGGAAAAATGGTTATGGAAGGAAATGTGACTTTGGGTGGTGAACACAAAATATAATATACAATATGACATATTGTATAATTGTATCCCTGAAACTCATGTAATTTTATTAACCAATGTCTTCCAAATATATTCAATAAAAAAACAATAGTCAACACAACAACAGTTGTCTAGTATGAATGAATCAAAATTATGCCTACATTTAATTGTCAGGTTGGCAAAAAATAACGTATTTTTTTGGCGTGCTGCAGAATTTTAGTATTTAGTTCATGTATACCATGCATGAGATGAAAAAGTTGAAAATCACTGACTTATGCCATGAACACTGTTTCACATTCGTATTTACTTAACAACACATCCTTATAGAAACTTTAGCTTAGGACTGCTTTAGTAACAAAGAATGCCACTTATTATGTAAGCATTAAAATACATATCTGCCATTTTATGCATTTTACATTTTAAATATAGCCTTGCAACTTTTAGTACAACCTTGAAACCATTATTATTTTTTAAAAAATCACCTATACCTTTGAAAGTATTTCAGATACCCTCCCTCTATTAACCCTCTCCTGCCCAATCCTGCCCCTTCCCCAGGCCTTCACTATTGTCTATGTCCATGAGTTATGCATCTATGATAAATTCTTTGGTCAATTTCTCCCCACCCCCCCATTTTCCTCTCAGACTCTTCAGTCTGTTGCATGCTTCCTATCATGTTTACTTCCAAGAGAGTAAAAAGCACTTTGAATGTTTGTTTCCATTATCTTGAGGCAAATTGTACAGTGCAACTTGGCAATGCCTAAAACATTTAGACTTTAGCTTTTCTTTGCCAGCCATTAAGTCAGTGAATCCTAAGAGACAGCTGTATCTTTTTTTAATTCTTCAAAAACTCTGGTGTTCCCATTAGTAGAATGGCTCTGCTACAATAAGACAAACTACTTAGGTTTGGAAGAATTAAGATATCAACATTTGTCTTTTCTTTTACCCTTAGGGACACTCTCAGACATTTCCTCTTGTTATTTCACTTGCTTTCCCTCACCGGCTTGCTGGCTGACCCTACTCCGGGCGGCTTCACAGGGGCATTTGAAGGGCAGCATGGTTCAGTAGGCTAAACAGGTGTTACGGTGATTGACATTATATAAATAAAAGTTGTCTCGATATTTAAGGGTATGCTTTTATCTTGGCTCTGCTACTAACTTTCAAAGAAATGGGCCACGTTCCTGAAGTTCTCTGCACTTTATTAGCAAATTAGGGTTTTTTTTTTTTTTTAAAAAAATTCTCATAACTCAAAAGGAGACAGAGAATTAAAAGAAAAAAAAAAATGAGTCACAGCCACTTTTTTTCCATCTGATCACCAACCTCTTATATCCCCTAAAATATACTCGAACTAAATCTGAATATTCTACAACTTTAACAATGTACTAGCAGTATCAAGGTTACATATTATTTTCCACCATAAAATAAGATCACTGATGAGGTGAACATCAAAATTC